CCTTTTTTTTTTCCTTTTTTTTTTTTAAAGTTAACCCATCTTTTTTCTGCTTTCCTGCAAAATGCTCGTGCGACCTCCTTTTAGATTTACCAGGCTGATGCACATCTCTCGGAAAGAGTTATTTTGGGTGTGCGGGTGGGCTTCTTCTGAATCTGCGGGGGAAAGGGAGGGAGGGGGAAAAAAGCTGCTGCAGGAGGCGAGAGGGAAAGGGGAGAAAAAAAGAAAAGAAAAGAGAAGAAAGCAATCAGCTGTGCCAAAATGTGCAGCCCTGATCTAGACATATTTTCCCGTAGCGCTCCCGAACTGCGGTAAATGAATATTTATAAAGCTTGTTCAACATGGCGGGTTAAGGTGCCTTCAAAAAACTGCAAATAAACATTTGAAGAGGAGAAGAAGAGGGAAGGCGGGGTGCCACGCGTTTGGTTGAACTCTCTTTTGTTGCTCGGAGAGGTGCGCTGGTGAATTCCGTGCGGAGGGATGAGGATGCGATCCCAAATCGGGGTCCTCCCCCTGCAGGACCCGGCGGTGGGAAAAGTATCGGGGCATTTGTGTGTGCTGGGAAGGGACGTGTTGAGTTGGAACCGCGGCCGATTTGCCTTTGAATGCCAAAATCGCAGGCGTGCCATGTGAAAAAAAAAATAATAAAAAAAAAAATAAAATGCGCCGGGAGACTGAGCGCTGATTTATTTTGCATTAGCAGTAGACGAGTCGTGGGATGAGATGTCCTGTTAGAGCTGTCAAACCTTCCTGGGCGCAGTCAGCTGGCGATGTCTGGGGTGGGGTTTTTTTGGGGGGCTTTTTGCATGTTTTTGTTTAGCAAAAACACTCTGGAATCGCTCCACGCGGAAATTCGGGCAGTGCGAGGAGCGGCATCTCTTCTGCAGAGAGACCCTAAAAACCCCCCGGTGGCGGAGGCGAATCTCAGCTTCTGCAGAGCCGGAGTTTGCAGAGAGTTCTCAGGGAGTTGTTCGTGCCCTTCCCGGCTGCCTTTTCCAAATGTGTTTTCCAGGGGAGCGGAGGAGTGAGGCTGCCCCAGAGGCAGTGGGAACTCCCCCGGTGCTGCTGTTCTGGGGTTGTAAGGTGTTAACTTTGGGGTCTGTGTTTGCAGCTGTGGGAGGCGATGGGATGCTCCAGCACCGCAGGCTGGCAGTGCCTGGGTGAGGATGGAGGAGCCGGGGAGGATCCAGGAGTGGCTGGAGAGCTGATCTCCTGCTCCTTTCCCTCTTGGAGATGCTCCCCAGAGCCTGGCTGTGATTTTATTTAGCAGGAGCAGTTGGAGATGCTGTTCGCACACCTTGTCATGTGGGGTGAGGTTTCCCTTTCCAAAAGGGCTCTGATCCATCAATCCACCCATTTCCCCCTCCTTTCTCCAGCCCTGCCAGGACCAAGCTGGCTCAGGGATCCAGCAAACTCACATCCCAGGCTATGGTGGTGGGGAGGGGGGAAGAGGAGAAAATGGGGGCAAAATTGTGTTTCTTTTTTTTTTTTTTCAAAATAGCAGAAAATGGCATTAATTACAAGCAGAGAATCTTGGAAGGCAGTTATCAAACTGTGGTGGGATTTGGGTGGCAAAATCCAAGAGCTGCCAGTGGAGTTTTCTTTGGGGTGGGAAGGGATGAAGCTGTTGCAGAAGGGGAAGGTATCTTCCCTCTCCACCCCCTGTACATGTCCCCATCCCCAACTTTGTTGTCCCTTGGACAGGACATTTTCTAAAATCAGTTTGTGCCCCTGGTGCTCTGGGGAAGAAAGTGTGGTAGCAGAGTGGTGACCTTGTGTCTGAGCAGAGAAGCAGCTTTGGAAAGATGAACGTGGGTCAAATCTTCTCCAAGGCGTTTCTTCCTGCTGTAGCAGAGAAGGGTGCTGGCCAGGATTTAGTGCAATTTGTTTTCCCTCTCTAGAAGCCTTTAGGTGAAAACAAATTTGATTTGTTTTGCTGCTGGCAAAGTAAGAGCAGGTGTTGCA